TGTCGCCCAGGCTGGAGTGCAGTGGCGTGATCTTGGCTCACTGCAACCTCCTCCTCCCAGGTTCAAATGATTCTCTTGCCTCAGCCTCCTGAGTAGCTGGGATTACAGGCACCTGCCACCACACCTGGCTAATTATTTTTGCATTTTTAGTAGAGATGGGGTTTCACCATGTTGGCCAGGCTGGTCTCAAACTCCTGGTCTCAAGTAATCCACACACCTCAGCCTCCCAAAGTGCTGAGTTTACAGGTGTGAGCTCCCACACCCAGCCCCCACTTTCTTATTTTCTTCATGGAAATCTTCATCTCATAGTTTCAGATTAGGGACCCCTCTTACCTATGAGAGGTTTACAAAACACACACACATACACTTTAGACTGGCCTTTCTCTTCACAAGCTAAATACTAAATTAACAACCCATGTTTATTTTTGACATGGTATGGTGAGATGGGATCTCACTATGCTGCCCAGGCTGGTCTCCTGAACTCAAGCAATCCACCCACCTCAGTCTCTCAAAGTGCTAGGATTACACACTTGAGCCACCATGCCCAGCCTAGAACCATTTTTAAAATAACCGGCAACTCTGATATGACCTCTCACATACCCTACTTTAAAATGCTAAACTGATTAGTTAGAAAAAATGCCTCAGAGTCCAGTTAACTTCTTAGAGCAACAAATCAGGATTCACAGAACTCTAAAATTCTTATTTATTCCAACACTATGTTGATAAAGAGAGATATCCAATTATCCATTTATAGAACAAGGCCTTGTCTCAAAAAGAAAAAAAAAAAAGAAAATTCTTAAGCACAAAGAAATGTTTAAAGAAATAACAAATGTAAAAATCTTTTATAAAGTACTATACAAATGTACAGGTATATTATTTTTGCCTTTTTTTTTTTTTTAGAGACAGGGTCTCAATCTGTCACCCAGGCTGTAGTGCAGTGGCATGATCTTGGCTCACTGCAGCTTCAAAATCCTAGGCTCAAGTGATCCTCCTGCCTCAGCATTCCGAGTAGGTGAGTCTACAGGCACACACCACCACACCCAGCTAATTTTTAAATATTTTTGTAGAGACAGGGGTTTTGCTGTGTTGCCCAGTCTCGTCTTGAATTCCTGGCTTCAAGAGATCCTCCCGTCTTGGCCTCCCAAAGTGCTGAAATTAGAGGCATGAGTCACCATGCCTGGCCCATTTTTTAACCTAAATATTACATTAAAATAGAAGTAGGTATGTTATAAGTCCACAAGATAGGATATTATTACAAGAATATTCACATTTACTAGAAATGTTCAATAGCAAAGAAAAATGCTTATGTTACAAAGTTAACCAAAAATAGCAAGACTCAATTTAATCTACAGTATGATCCAAAATAGAGGTAAACATAAAATAAGACTGGCTAGAAAGATGACATATTAACACTTGTCTTTAGCTGGTGGTTCTATGGGTTTTATCCCACCATTTTCTATTTTTCACAATTTTTATAATAATAACAGCTTTTAAAATTCAGTAAATGCCTATTGAAGCTAGGCTCTGTTCTTTACACCTTATGAATATTCTTTTTCGTCTCCACAATAACCTTATGAGGGAATTATAAGGATGAAGATACATGAGGAGAGGGCAAATAATTTGACTAACTTCAAATTGCTAGTAAGTGCCAGAGTTAAAATGGGAACCAAGAAAATCAGGCCAGGGCCTACACTCTTAACCACTCTTATACTGTCTCCCGTACATAAATACATATTGCTTTTCAACAAATGGGTTAAGATTTGGAAAAGATTACTAGATTTAAAAAAATGAACTCTTTCGAAAATGGAAAACTGTTATCATATATGGATGTTTTTGTTTCATGGACAACTTTAAGGACTATATCCTTAATTTTAATTATCCAATCTATTCTGCTTTTAATATAATTTTTAAGAGGGGTATGTATAATTTTTTTTTTTTTCCAGACAGTCTCACTCTGTTGCCCAGGCTGGAGTGCAGTGGTGTGATCTCAGCTCACTACAACCTCCATCTCCCAGGTTCAAGCAATTCTCCTGTCTCCGCCTCCCGAGTGGCTGGAATTGCTGGAATTACAGGCA